TACACGGTCCGCTTTGACGACAAAAGCTGCCCAGGCACAAGGATCAAGGTTCGTACCCGGCCTGCCATCCTTCCGTCAACCCCCTTTGGTCGCTGTGGCTCTGCATCACCACGGATGTCATCACATTCAATTGATATTTGTGCGCTCGAACTTGGGTCGAATCGGGTTGTTGTGACCGGTAGTACTTGACAGACGGCATGTTGTTGCGCGAGGCCATCCACAACAAGCAGCTACTTCGCTATGGCATTGTTGTGCTAGATGAAGCCCACGAGCGAACCGTCAATACAGACGTGCTGTTGGGCATGCTCAAGGAGCTCTGCGCTAGGAGGCGTGACCTCAAGGTAAGAAGCTGTGCCTAAAGGCGCAGACCGCTTGTGTGTGTGTGTGTGTGTGTGTGTGTGTGTGTGTGTGTGTGTGTGTGTGTGTGTGTGTGTGTGTGTGTGTGTGTGTGTGTGTGTGTGTGTGTGTGTGTGTGTGTGTGTGTGTGTGTGTGTGTGTGTGTGTGTGTGTGTGTGCAACTGCCTTGACATCTTCCTTTTTCTTGTGCGCAACGTCTAGCTGGTGATCATGAGTGCGACACTTGATACTGAGATCTTTGCCAATTACTTCAACACCACCAATGCACTCTACGTGGCTGGGCGTACTTTTCCCGTTGAGGTCTGTTCAGCAACGTACCGGCCTCGACCTTGGAAAGCTTGAGACCGTGCTTTTTCTTCACTGACCATCCTATCTGGCCATATTTCAACAGGTTTTGTATTGTCGCGAACCCGTCAAAGATTACATGGCTGGGACAATTGCCACAATCTTGCAGATTCATCGCAACGAGCCCTTGCCGGTATGCATAGAGTTGGTCCTCTTTTTGCTTTTTCTTGCATGGCTGCCGCCAATACTTCCGTGCGATAGCAACTGGAGTGATGGCACTCGTGCTGCAATGCTCAAAGACCTTTTTGCTGTGTATCACAACGACAGGGAGACATTCTTGTCTTTTTGCCTGGCCAAGAAGAGATTGAGAGCATGCAGCGCACGTTGGAGCAGTGCATGGAGAGGTCAGTCATCAGTTGGGGTTTCTTAAGCCGGACGTACACGTGGGCTGTCAGGTCACGGCTCGCCAATGATACCCGCACTCTTTCATTCCTCACCCCGTTTTGATCATCTCTCATCAACCTATAGTGCTCCAGAGGGCGTCTCTGAGCTCATGGTATGCCCCATGTACGGTGCCCTGCCTCCACAAGAGCAGCTGCGCGTTTTCGGCCCTGCACCAGCAGGTGTTCGCAAGGTGAGTTGTTGAAACCTTTGTGGGCTCAACGCTATCGAAGCATGATGGTGCAAGCCAGCAGCGCCATTCAGGCCAAGCCCACCCAACTGATCAAAATGCGTGCTCGGGCGCGGACAGGTCATCCTGTCCACAAACATTGCAGAGACGTCGGTGACGATTAATGGCGTGCGGCATGTGATTGACCCGGGGCTGGTCAAGCAACGCGCGCACAATCCCAAAACTCGTACGTTTTATGCGCTACTACTCCTTGGCATCTGGGCGCTTTGCATATCAGCACGTAGTCGTTGGATGCAATCTTTCGAGTTTATGCGGTTTGTTGCTTGTAGGTATGGATGCCCTCTGTGTCACTTCAGTGTCCAAGGCCCAGGTAGGTGGTCCAATGGGAGCATTGCCAGGCATATTGAGGATCGCAGCCTTGGTTTGCATTTCACTTGTTTGCCTGGGGACCGTGTATGTGGCCAGGCTCGGCAGCGCTGTGGTCGTGCTGGTCGTGAAGCACCAGGTTCTTGCTATCGTCTGTACACGGAGCCTCTATTTGCAGAGCTGAGCGATACGACGCCGGCCGAAATGACCCGCTGTAATTTGAGCAGCGTGGTTCTGCAGCTGTTGGCACTCCAGGTTCGTACTGGCTGAATCAAGGCTCTGTGCCGCCCGTGTAAGCTCAAGATGCCTGGCTGACTGGCCGAGACGGCGCGCTATTTAGATTGACGTAGTGGATTTTGATTTTATTTCCCCGCCAACGGAGGAAGCGCTTTTTGCCGCCGTCGATGCACTGAGCACTTTGCGTGTGTCCTTCGTTTCCTGCTGGTTTGCCCGACATCCATTCTGCCTCTCGCTCACATTGGTGTCTCGGGGATCGCGATGACGATGGACAGAGGCTGTGGACGAGGACATGCAACTTACGCAGCTGGGCCGACAGGTACATGATATTTTATTTTCCACTTGGTTGTCCTACCCGCTGCGTTCTCGGCAACATGTGTGCGCCTTTTGTTTTTTGTTTTCCGTTCTGTGGAACTCTGATGTCGTTGCTCTCACTCGAAATCCGCTACAGATGGCTGAATTTCCCTTGGAACCACAACTAGCCCGTGTCCTGCTGGCAACCAGCCGATTCAAGTGCCTTGATGAAATTTTGACGTGCGTTGACTTTGAGCATCGAATGAGTGAAGCTGCGTCCCGATGCTTGCTGACCTTTGCATCGCGTGCTAGAATTGTTGCCTTGTTGTCAGTGGATGCCATCTTCTTTACGCCCCAGCAAGTGAGGGATAAGGCCCAAGCAGCGCTAGCCAAATTCCGGCACAACGAGGGTGACCACGGTACCTACCTCAATGCCTATCGACAATTCCGGGTATGTTTTCTTTTTGTGCCCATGCCTTTTGATTATTGGCGAACAAGACATTGGAGATCATGCAGCTCATACCGTGTGGGTTCAATCGCAATCCTTCCCTTGGGCAGCGCATGAAGCGGGATCGTGATTGGTGCTACGACAACTTTATCAATGTGCGCAACATGAAGACGGCGGAGGACATTCGCAAGCAACTGGCTGACATTTGCCAGCGAATGCAGCTGAGCCCCAGCACGTGCAACGATGACTCGGTCATTTATCGCAAGTACGTCTGGTATCTTTCCAGAATCGAGCCGACGTCGGAAGCAACCCTGTCTCACTCTTTCCTGATCATTATAGGTGCCTCTTGACGGGCTATGCCAGCAATGTGGCCCTGCTGC